TACTAGCGCTTCTTTGTTGCTTGGTCGGGATAATGGTACCAAATTTGAATGAAAGATTTGATATAATTGATGGTGGTAGTAGTGGTGGTGGAGGTGGTTTTGGTTATGCTGGAGGTGGTGGTGGCTGACGGTAGTAGTGGCGATGGGCGGTGGACGGCGACGGTTATGGAAGTAGAGGCAGTGGTGGTTGGTCGACCACGGTGATTATGATTATAAAGGACTTAAAGATGGTGGATTGTGGTGTGGTGGCGTTTGACAATTGTGGAGGAGGTAGTTGTGGCTGATGTAGTGAAAATAGTGGTGGTGGTGGTTATGGTGGAGGTGAGTTGGCAATGGACAATGGTGGTCAATGGTTGTGGAGGTCATGGAGGAGGTTGTTGCAATAGAGGAAGAGATGGAGGTGGCCAACGATGGTATTAGCGGTGGCAACGAATAGTGGTGGTCGATGGCCATGGTGGTTGTAGAGGTGGCAATGGACAATAATGGTCGGTGGTCGACGGTGGTTGTGGAGGTCATGGAGGAGATCGTTGTGGTATATGAGGAGTTGGAGGTGGCCAATGGTAGTAGTGTTGGTGGTAATTAGTGGTAGTGGTCGGTGGCCGATGGTGGTTTGTAAAGGTGGCCATGGACGGTGGTAGTTGATGGTTGATGGTTGTAGAGGTGAGTAGAGGAGGTTATAGTAGATGAGGAGTTAGAGGTGGCCAACGACGGTAGTGGTGGTGACAATGGACGATGGTAGCCAGTGTTCGACTGTGATAGATGTGGCGATAGATGGTGGTTGTGGAGGTGTAGGATGTTTTAGTCGAAGAGGAGGTAGAGGTGGCCGAGGTTGACCGTCGATGGTGGCGGCAGCCGAATCTAGCAATGATAACCATTAAAACAAATATCATATTAAGATTATATATCAAACTAGGGTAGAATGGTAATATTTTAGTTTTTGTCTCGTTCTTGTTCCATCTTGTTCCACCTATTTTAATGGAATAAGAAATAGTCTCTTTTGTCTTATGTCGTCCCACCTTGTCTTAGTTCTTTTCCTTGTCCCATGTCGTGCCAAACATGGGAAGTGAGTTCTTGTTCTGTCCTATGTTGCGCCAAATGTGGGACATTGAGTTTTGTCTCGTCCCATGTACCAAACGCAGCCTAAAGCAACCGAGACTAATTATAAGTAATTCATGTTCTGCTGCTACTATTGCCTAAGTCAACAACGCTAGGCCAAAATACAGGTTAGAAAGTAGCAAGATTAAAGGACTGTTTACTAAATACTTATCAGGTGAGTGCTTACAGATATCACTTATCAGGATGGTACCTTACTTTTGGACAAGACTGATATAGACAAGAAGGTAGGAGTGAATAAGATTGTACGGGACAGGACTGGATAAATGAAGTGTCTGTCTGGTGTTTGGTACGACTAGATGTAATACTTGTTTTTTTATACCATTTTATTTTATTGGGTTCAAAAAAAGAGAGATTTGTTTATAAGAATCAGATTAGTTGTTGTGGGGGGGGGGGGGGGGGGGGGGGGGGCCTTCTGCTACCAGTGTTGATCCTTCTTTCCTCCAGCCAAACCGCCGCTCCTTCCAGCCGAGTCCATCGCACCTCCATCGACCAGTCAACCCTGCCGCATGCTGCTGTCCCGCGTCTTCAACCGTGCTGCTGTGTAATCCTTCGCTTCACTCGTCGAGCAGCAGACAGCAACAGCAGGCAGCAGCCTTGCTGTGCTGTTCCTTCACCTTTTCTCGCCCAAAACAGCAGCCCTGCTGCGAGGTTTCTTCGTCCCTTCCGCCTAACAGTAAACGCAGCAGCAGCGACAGCAGCAAGGTATCAAGTATATTGCTGCCCCGCCGTTCCCTTTCGCCTAACAGCAACTGTAGTAGCAGCGGCAAGCAGCAGACGCTGCTGTATCGTCCCTCGCAGCCCCCGTCGTGTTCCTCGGCGAACAACAGCAGCAGTCAACATCGGTTCAGTAAGCAACATCAGTTCAACCGTGCTGTTTCTTCGTTCCTTTCCGCCCATCTTGTTGTTCATTACTTTTAGGGATTTCTCCTAAACCCTCCAAGGTGAGTTCATCCCACTCCCTTTTTATGAGAACTCATACTAATTGTGTTGGTGTGTTTTAGTTATTATATGCCCTAGATTCTATAGAATTTACTTGCTTAGATGTAGAGAACATTTTAGGTGAAATGTGCAAGAACTTGGGAATTTCGTTGATTATAATTGGATGAGTTAAAAAGGGGCTTTGTTCAATAAATGGGATCCATATCCTCACAGTATTTCTTTTGGTCATAGGGCTAAAAAGAGAACCCTTTATAGTTACACATGGCATACTTTTCTAGTAAAGAAGGGTATTTCATTCGATTAAGGACTCATATAAATATCTTATTGCGAATAAGTGTCTATATGCTTAAGATATCGCCCTTGAACATGACACTAAGAGGTAAATGGATTATGGGCATGAAAGTCGTTTTGTTCATTCGTGTGAAGGATGATGTAAGTTGGATTTAGGCATTGCGATTATTATGTAATTTCTAATTCACCTTCTCACCCCACTCGGAAATAGGCATTGCGATTATTATGTAATTTCCGAGGTAAAGAGCTTAAGATCACGACTGGTTTTGGGTTGATGTCAATGGTATTATACCTGTAAGTGATGTTCTACAACGTTGATCTATGACTTACTTCGTATTCCGTCATAAATAACGGAAATCGGGTCTCCCCCGTCATCTTCGGATGTTTTTGGCCCCACCATGTTATATCTTGGACTTACCGTCCCCTTAAACTGTTTAAGTTACGTCATTGTTATATACGTATATTATTATGCAAAGACTCTTCTTTTATGTATTTATTCTACCATTTGAACTCACTAGGCGTAAGCCTAACACCTCTTCTTGTATTGATATGCTTATCAGGTTCCTTTAGCAGCAGGGTACCTAAGGGGTGAGGAAATTGTTGTCTTAAAGGTCTTTTGTTTGGAGTCGGAATACTTGGTGCTTCGAAATATTGGGTGATTTTGCATTTTGTTGGAGATGGTGGAAACACCCGTTTTTAATCTAGACGTAGGATTGTTTAGATTAATAGGTTGTTTTTTTTTATTCATCTCGCTTATTGTTTTGTAAACGCTATATTTCATCCCTGTGTTGGGAAAATCCTTGTTAAAATCTAGTTTCCGCTTCGTAGTTCCGATCTTTATTTATCTTTTTCTATATTAGCATATTTATACTTTTAGGGTGTTACACTAGAATTGGATGGGACAGAACTAGACAATTTACCTTCCAAAGTTTGATGATTTTAAATATTATATAATAGTCATAATTAACACAAATAAAGTAAATAATTTAATAATTTAATTTATAAATATTTTTACACAATTTTCATATAAATAAATACATACATATATAATTGTACCAAATTTGAATAAAATTTTGATTTAACTGTCGGTAGTAGTAATGGTGATGGAGGTAGTGGTGGTGGCGGAGGTGGTGTTGGTTACAGTGGAGTTATGGCCGATGGTAGTAGTGGCGATGGGCGGTGGTGGTTATGGAGGTAGAGACAGTGGTGGTTGGTGGACGATGGTGGTTGTGGAGGACGTGAAGAGATTGTGGTGGTGGTGCCGATTGACAATGGTGGAAGAGGTAGTTGTGATCGATGTAGTGAAGGTAGTGTGGTGGTGATTATGGTGGATGTGAAGTGGCAATGGACGATGGTGGTCAATGGTCAACGGTGGTTGTGGAGGTCGTAGAGGAGATTATTGCAGCAGAGGATGAATTTTAGGTGGCCAACAATGATAGTGGTGGTGGCAATGGACGGTGGTGTTTGTTGGCCGATGGTGGTTGTAGAGTTGGCAATGGACTGTGGTTGTCGGTGGTCAACCATGGTTGTGAAGGTCAAAAGGAGTTAAAGATGGCCAACAGTGGTAGTGTTGGTGGCAATGGATGGTGGTTGTGGAGGCGATGTAGGATGTTGTAGTGGAAGAGGAGGTAGAGGTGGCGATGGATGGTAGTTGTGGAGGCGGTGTAGGATGTTGTAGTGGAAGAGGAGGTAGAGGTGGTTGACGATAACCGCCGGTGGTGGCAGCGGCCGAAATTAGTGTGATGACCATTAAAACAAATATCAATATAATGTGATATATCAAACTAGAGTAGAGTAGTAATATTTTAGTTTTTGTCTCATCTTGTTCCACCTATTTTAGTGGAACAAGTAAGAGTCTTTTTTGTCTCATGTTACCCACCTTGTCCCAGTTTTTGTCTCTGTCTCATGTCACATCAAACGTATTGTTTTGTCCCATACTGTGCCAAACGTAGAACAATGAGTTTTATCCCGTCATGTCATGTCTCCTCTCATGTAGCGTAAGTGGTCGGAGTGGTTAAGAAGCTCTATATGATTTAGTGTCATATAAAAAATAATTGCTTAGAAATTGTTCTGAATCTACAGTTGGAATGACGTAAAATTACCGTGTGTTGAATGGAATTAATATTTGACGTAAAATCACCATTTTATCCCGCCTTATGTTGAGTTACCACATAAATTTCTTCCCCGTATTTTTAGATGAACATGGATCTAAGGAGAGACCAAATTCATAAAGAAGAAGAAAGAAAAAGACATCTAGAGAAAGGCTAGCGGTAGGTAGTCGACCAACACAGGACACTTGAAAACTTGATGCCCATCCTCAACCAAAAACAAAGAAGTAGAAGCAGTGGATCAAGCTTACAAAAGAGACAGAGGCCATTCTCACTAGTTTTTGACTTATGCTGTATCTTTATCATCTTTGTTTGATTTGTATATATGATGGGTCGTATAAGAGGGTAAAATGTTGTCTCTAAATGATATGGCAACACTTCAAAGATCAAGTGTTTGTTTCATTTTCACACCCAAATTACAACACTTTTAAAGCTGGCTCATGATATTTCCAAACCAAGCTCTCCACAAACCCATTAATATCTTTCCGGTTTGTGTCTTAGACCCAAAATTTGAGAGGCACAAGGATCACAAAAAGAATTATCAAACATAAATTACACACAAGCGCGATTGTGTGGCTTTACCATTATTTCAGTATAAACCTTGTTTTCTCGTTCAGGGTCCGACCCTTGTGCTTTGGTGTCTCATCATACACAAGCTTTGTGTTTATAAGAAAACATAAGACAACTTTATACAATCCCAATATATCACAAATATACACAATGTTTGATGATATACTTATGTACCTATCAAGTCCAAAAGATTGATTCCATCTCATAATCTCAACATCACTATGTCAAGAAAATTCATCCTTTAGAACATGTTCCCAGTCTGATGATGCATTGTAGGAAGGGGAGTACAGCCCAGACTCGAACCGATTCTGCATCACGCTTGTCCCAACAAAACCCATTTTATCTTCTGCTTTAAAAAACCAAACAAAACAAACTCGGTCAATCTTACACAGAAGAAAGGTCTGAGGGTACAACTTACAGAGACCTGTGCTTTGCAATTTATTGTTGTTTTCGTCCCGAGGATAATTTCGTTGGTGGTTTACCGTTAAGTATGAGGGACGAAAACAACAATGAATTGTGTTCAAGAATAGTGTCGTTCAGTTTTTCGACCCTTTGCCTTAGGATTAATAAATCACGTGAACGAAAACAACAATGAATTGTAAACCACAAGGACGAAAACCATAATTTCAAAATCACAAGAACGTAAATAGCAATTGCCAACAAATCATAGAGACGAAAACGTAGTCTACTCAAAACCAAGGGGCCACCATCCAAATGCTTACCGGCAAGAATCACCCTCACTTACCTTGTCGGGTAACATTCTCGACCATCAAAATGGATTTTTCGTAAACGTCTCTTACCAGAAAACATTCTCGGTCCTTGCCATGCTCACCCAGTAAGGTAAGCAACCCGATAAGCTTTTACCGGATAAGCATTCGGTAAACGGCCCCTAAGACTTGACAGCTTTTTTTAGAAGTTCCATCACCACATTAATTCATGTAAATCACCAAATATAAATGTTCAGTTCATCACCTTTACCAGCTTGATGCTGGAAATGAGCACCATCTGCCAAAACTTGCCATTCAACATTAACAGGATCCGACTCACCTCGGCCCTTCAAAACATTCAATCTTGCCATAATTGAATGCTCAACATCCTTAGTATCCAAGGCCAGCTGGTGCTGCATCTTTTGGTTACCATGAGAATATATCACTACTGCATCATCTGCCAGACATTAACAATTTCATCATCATCTTCACATGTCACTGTAAATATTCATATCTTCATTACCTTTACCAAGGTCATGCGGCAAATGGGGTCCCTCAGCCACCTCAGAGCTTTGAATGTCATTACCAGAAACTTCAACATCCACAGCTTCTTTCTCTGGCGTATTAACAGGTTTTGACTCTTCACGACGTTTCAGGATATTGAATCGGGCCATTACTGAACTCTCAACATCATCAATGTTGCCATCAAAATTTGGCAAAGAAGGATTATGTGGGGGGATATTTGATGGCTTGCTACCAGAAGCTTCATCTATCAGTTTGGGAGAAATTAAAGAAAAATTGGAGTTTGAGATTTTCTTTATGTCAGAACTAACTTCAGATACATCTGGGTCTGAAAAAAGTTCGTAATTAGAGACCATAAATATATAAGAAGGTTTGGACTCAAATAATAGCATAGCAATACCTGATGCTTCAGATATGGCCATCTCTCTCTTCACACGATGAAAGCGAGCTTTATAACTCAAGGCACACAGCTCTGCTTCGGCTTCAAGCCACAGATTCTTGTACAACAGATTGTGGGATGGTAGATCCTCCTTGCACTCTAGGTTCTCATCAAGTACCTTCTTTATTGTCTGATGGTCAACAAGCAAAAATTTTCTAATCCAAAGTTGAAAAGAAAAATAAGCCGATCCACGGGAAAGAAAAAAGAAAATACCTGAACCATGTTATGATCTTTCTGTATATCAATGTCCCTCAAAGAAGCACCCTGTAGTTTCTCAATATTCTTAGCAAAATGATCATTGTTCCTTTCCATATGAAGAGCAGACAGATGACCAGCCTGATCATAAAATATACCGCTACTTCCATTTGTCACTTGAGACTTGCCCACAAAAGCACCCTAGAAAAGACATTAACGAACCATAATGCTGAACTGGATACATGATAAGATGGTCAAACCACACAAACCAGGTCTGCAGGAACTAAAAAACTATGAATAAAACCACAAGGGTGGTGTCTGATTGGTTTGAGTTTGGGCTCCAAAGGTCAAAAGTGTCTAGAGGTCCCAGGTTCAAATCCGAGGAGGAACTCCCCTTGTGGCAACGGAGGTTCAAATGCGGTGACTCTGGGATACCCGCAAGGCAGGTGGTCACCCAGGATTAGTCAGCTCGCATAGCGGGTTGGATATCCAGGTTAATAAAAAAAAAAAAGCTATGAATAAAGTGTACCTCCTGAAGCACATTTGAACTGATATGCTGAGGCAATTTATAATTTTGTGTGGGAGGCGCTTGTTGAATTTCTCTAGACCTACAGACATTAAGATTGCCAACAATATGATCAAGGGCATTGCGATCTTGTTCCTTCAGTGCACATTCATCCTTTGAACAATGAAGTAAAAGCAACTCTGAGAGGTTATTCAGTGCTTTAACAATAACATTCACGTCAAAATTTTCAGCCGATGCAATATCAGCAGCATTTTCTATGGAGGCATGCAGAGTCTGCCCCACAATTCCATCTGTTGATCGGATTATCATACCAGATAACAGAACATCCTCATTGACATTTGGTAGCTTCAGTTTAGAAGCTTGAGAGTTTGCATTACTTGATGGTTCGCTCAAGAAACTATATTCCTTTCTATGTCTGGCCATATCACAAGAAGACTGAGCTTGTCCTTTGCTAGCTTCTACAGAATCCAATCCCACAACCACTGCTCCACCAGACTTGTGGTCTTTTTCAGTGGGCTTAGAAGCTAATATTCTCTCATTGGAAACACTATGTTCATGACGTTTCTTCATAGGATGCTGAGGTGGTTCTGCATCTGGGGATCCAAATGGTGAAAAGTGAGTGGGAGCACCTTTCCAACATGGAGAATCTTCAGCAGGGTTATGATGATCTAAATGCTCTGACAAATTTGTTGCAGACTTCCCATCTTTGGTGATATTGATATCAGGAAATTGGACATTCGGAATTGATTTGAACTTGAAATCCAACTGATCGTCGGTAGACATCATGTTGGATGCATCTCTCCTTGCGGAGGAATCAACCAACACATGATCATCACTTCTTCCTATTTGAAAGCTCAGTTGGTTTAAAGCTAAAGAACTACCTTTGGCTTCAAAACCTAGTGGAAGATGAGACTCCTTTTCTTTTAAGGGTTTATGACTAACCAAAACATCATTGCTGTTAAAAGCTGGAGTGCTGCTGATCTCCACATTTTTGCTAGAAACAGCACCCTGAGCTGAAAAGGTGGAAAGTGAAGCTGGAGGTTTTATCACGACAGACGGCAAAGATTTTGTTATTGACGGTGGTTTGAGATTAGTATAGGTATCAAATAATGATCTTGTTCCATATGGAGTGTATGAACTATGGTTATTCCAGGGTTCTTTGGGAGGTTCAGGAGAGGGTACCAATGGATGAGATTCTGAAAACTCAGGAAAGGCTGTAAAAGTAAGTTCTTTGGAGAACCCATTCAGATTAAGCCCCTGATTAACCGCAGAAAATGATGCACCATGCGACTTCCCAACGATTGAAGGTCCTATGTTCTTTTCTCTTACAAGATTGGAGTGTCTTCCAGGAAACATGGCAGGATCTTCTTTTCCCTTGCTCAAACTCTCGACATCATAAGCACCTATTGATTACAAAGAGGAACAGCAAAGAATTAGGCCTGCATATACCTCAATTACATAAAAAAGTTCATATATACACTATGAAACAAAGAGCAAACTTTAAATGTCTTCTAAAAGGACCTGATCCATGGACTGCAAAGCATATCAGTAGTCTTAAACAGTATTTGCACACAAATGAAAACCATATGTGGTATTTTTTTGCAGAGAAATGAACTTTGGCAACTTATAAAGGTAACCTTTTTAAGGCTTCTTTGACTTCAGACATACAACCATTATGTAGAAGTTAAGATAAAAAAAGAACTCCCAACATGAAGGTGCAATTGACCCTATATTCGCTTTTGAAAAGATACTGAAAACTCATATATCCATAAGTTTCAACATAGTTAAGACAAGTGACGATGAATCCCATACAAGATTATATGAAAGAATGAATAAGAAAACAAGGAAAAATGACATAATCAGAAATGCATTACAATAAATCCATCTCTCTTTTATCTGGGCTTCTTCTTCTTCTTCTTCTGCTTTAGCTGATGCCGGTGCACCTACCTTGATCCCCTAAGCAATAGCACGAATCCTGAACTATGGGAATCAAGGAATACCGACAAGTGCATACTTTGTCACTAATGCACTACCATATATCCAAAGAAGTGTGCTCGTTGAGGACAGAAAATAAGAAAGTATTCTCCATATATTCTCATTGTATTTGGTAAATGAAAGCCTTTACAGATATCAAATTACTGGTGTGGAACATATAAGACAGCAAGAAGTAACCATAAAGCAATTGAAATCAAAGGATATCTACAACCAGTGAGGGAAAAGAAGACCACACCTTGATTCATATAACTCCTACAAGCAAGTGAACCTGCAACGTTTGCCTCCTCTGAGAAGAAACTCTGTTCAGCGTCCAAATTATTTCCTCTTGATCCATCTGCTAGTCCTCCCCAGGTGCCGACCTGTGGGGCATTATACTTCAATCCAGACAAGTGTTGGCTATAATCAACTTGAGAAGATCCAGGACCATGAAAAAGACCCCGATTATGCGAGAAATCCTCATTAAGGGGGGCCAAGGGAGCATCATCTTCATCGGACGACCATGAAACACAGGGATAATAGAATGGTTCAGTACGATTATAAGACGATGAATCAATGACACGCTGTGGATTAGGGTTTATAGCAGACAATTGGGGAGCAGGCGCATTTAGAGGTTGTGGATTAGGGTTCATAGCAGACAAATGGGAAGCAGGCGCATTTATAGGTTCCAAACCTGATTTAATTACAGAGTGCAGAGAATCCCAATTATAAGTGGTTGGTGAATTGATAAGCTCAGGAACCATATAACTATTTGCAGAAGGAACGGTTGCAGTCCTTATCGAATCGGCCAATAAACCCTGTCTAGCAGTTGAAGAGTGAAAATTGGGCCAAGGGGAGGTGAAGGGCACTCCATCTGACGTGCCATTGAAATGGGAATCTCGATTTGAACTCAAATTGAGTTTATTATAGTTAGATCGTTCAACAGTAAAAGGGGGAGCTAAAGGCGACAAATTTGAGGAAGATGATGACGACGATGCTGCGAAAGACCCTAAACCCATCATTTGTTCCTCTGTACAATCAAAACCCAAGAACAAGTGAGCCATCTGATCAAGAATCAGACAACAATAATCATCAAAGTTGATCCTAGAAACAATAAAAAAGGGATGATCGAAGTTGACAAGTGGGAAAAGAAAAAAGGATTTGAAGTTGGGAGAATACCTGTGAAAGAATGAGAAGACTTGCGGGGTTGAAGGCGTTTATGGGGTTTGGTTCTACTCATTCTTTTGTACGCTCAAAGTGGAGGCGATGGATGGTGTTTTTCTTTTTCCTAATGGATGGTGTTCCATGTACGCTAGCTATTGTTGACCCTTCTTCCATGTTTATGAAAAAAAAAACATTGTTTAATTGTAACAGTAAGTTATGGGCCGTTTACTGAACATTTATCCGGTAAGAGTTTAATGGTAAAATTTAACACTATCATTTACTTATCAGGTAAGATTTTAGTTCACCAAAACTACATCGTATGCAATAGTTTACCCGGTAAGTGTTTACTTACCGGGTAAGACTATTGGTCTTTGTCTCGCTCTTACCGGGTAAGTTTATGGTCCTTACCATATTCGCTAGGTAAGGCAATATGACTTCATAAGCGCTTATTTGGATAAGTATTTGGTAAACGGTCTCTTAGTTCACATCTGTTTATTAATAGTTTTAATGGGACTCAGAGATTATGTCTGGTTTATAGATTTTGAAGGAATCTGATGGAATTGAAATGTTTAATTCCCTTGATTAAATTACATTCTCTCATCTGCTTCATTCTTTTTCATGAAAAAAATCTTCAAAATCCATTGAATCCACAAATAAAGTATTTAAACATCCTTTGCAATAAGATGGTATTTTGATGGAATGAAATGTTTTAATTTCATAATTTCAAATATGCCCCTTATCACTATTATGATAAAATAGCTGCACACCTCCTTAATTTGGACCACCATCGACCACCACCGATCAGAATCACCGTTGATATGAACACTCACTGACCACTACCAATCTAAACCACTACCGATTATCATTGATTTGAACCACCATCGAACACCACTGATTGCCTACCTGAACCACCACTGATCTAAACCACCGCTGACCACCATCAATTTGAACCACCTCCGACCACCGTTGGTCTGAACCACCGCCATCTGAACCATCGTCGACCACCATCATTTGAACCGTCGCCAACCATCGTCATCTGAACCACTACCGACCATCGTCGATCTAAACCACACCGTCAACCATCACAGACCTGAACCATCGCCAGCACCATCGACCTGAACCACCGTTGACCATCGCCGACCTGACCACCACCGTTCACTGTCGACCACCACCGATTTGAATCACAGTAGTTGGATTTCGGTTTCAAAATTTTCAAAAAGGGTATTTTGGTCATTTACCGATATTTTATTCCAATTTCAAAGCTACATTATGTGAACCAAACAAACATATTTCAATTCTTTTAATAGATTCCATTATAATGTCTGTCAACTAAACATGTGGTCAAACCTGATAGCATGTCATTCCAATTTCTTGGAAGTCAAATTCTTTGGACAGATTCCATTTCATTCAAAAACATTCTGCAAACCATACGTCACCAAAGTTTATCTGATCAACTAGAGCATCTCCAACGAATTCTCCAAAATTTCATTAAAATGGAGAATTAAAAGTCAAAATCTCCACACACAAAAAAATACATTCATCTCTAATAGATTTCCCATTTTAGAGAATCCAACATTGGTTATAATATTAAAATATTTCATTCATCTATTAACATATTATTTTTCCCTCTAAATATTTATTCTCGAAGTTTACAGTTGGTACTCTCACTTGGTAATTATTTTTTTGGTGATCTCCATATTTGGAGAAAAACCTTTATCTCCTTTACTTTCTCCATTTCGGAGATAGTTTAGAAAAAGTTGGAGCAAAATATAGGCTCAAAATTCTCATTTTCTCTATTTTCCTTATTTTGGAGAAGCTGTTGGAGATTTTTAAATATGACTATTTGATGGTGGCTTAATAATATGAAAAGTGACTTATTCAGTAGGTATTTATAGGGAGCTTTATGCAGAAAAGCAAGTTTTTTTCAAACTTTTTTTTTCAATTAAAAAACACGCTCATTCCATTTATAAAAAAAACTCTCCCAAACAAGAATCTTTCAATCTATATATACAGATTAATTCACACAGAAAAAATTATCCATACAGGACTTGATAAAACCCAACCAAACAATTCCTAAAATATAACACAAGAGAGGTAAATTAAGAACACAATGGCCTGTTAGAAACCTGGTTTAAGAACTTAGTACCTATAAGAATTTCAATCCTTACGAGAAATTTTGAGTCATATACCACATCTGCCTCATCAGTTGTGAAAGTATAGTGCTCTGGAAACAACTGTACTATGTCAAGGGGGTTTCGTTGTTTATGTTGATGTTCTTTTCTTATTAATGAGAGGTTCAAATAAGAAAATAAAAGGTTGAAAATGTACAAATAAATGATACATTTGTGAGTAATTGGTAAATACTAACATGGGTTCATATATGAATTTTTAAATGGATTTTTTTCGGATTTAACATTGATGCACATATGAATCGTTTTTTCATACGTTTTTAACCTTTTTGCCTTTACTTACTATAACCTTCCCCTTTTTTGCTATAGGGTTGGGTTATAGTGAGAAGGAAATTATGGTGAGAAACGTAAGAAGAGATCTCCACTTTCGGATCATTCATAATTGAATGTCAACACTAATAATCAATTCCCTTTTTCAACGCAATTCGTGGGTGAGTATAAAATTAGGAGTGATCAAGGGTTCAATCTTTTCTTATACGTCTCACAATAACTTCCCTTCTAACAACCTCTTGCTATATATACAACTAATTATTTTGTCTATAACAATGTATCACATTGAAATACATTTGTTTTTGTTCGATTGTCATTTAAAAAAATATTTTTTAGTCAGTGTTGAAAATATATGGTTAAAAAAATATTTAAACAAGGATATGTGGTTTTGAAAAAATATATCTATATTATATTATATAACATTTGAAAAAACTTTTAAAAATCATTTTTCATGCATGAAGTACTGTTTATTGATGTATATTACTTAAAATTCAATATTATAAGTAAATTATGCGTAAGTACAACTTATTAAAGCTTCATGTTTGAATTTGTGTAACTAACTGTAGATAAACATAATCAAATACATGATAAGCATCTCATTTTAAATATAAAAACATTTTTTCAAATTATAAGTCTTTAAACATCTTTTAAAACCATATTTTCTAAAAATAACAATTCAAAAAGCATTGTTCTGTTCTTTTAAACGCAATTTGCGTAATTTATTTTCCCTTATAACTAGTTTTCACTTCTATTTAAAATTATAAGTTATATTTGCATCATGTTATGATTTATTTATTATTATTTGACTTTTTGGATGAATAAAGGATTAATAATCATTATCTAGCTTCAAATGGAGGTTTTTAAAGTAAACAAAAAGTCAAACTTTTATGTCATTCTTATCATCTTCCAATGTAATTCGAAGAAAATTTTCATCAAAATACACCTCATTTTCAATGAAAGTTCTATTTGGAATTCATCACAAAGGTCTAAAAGGATTTAGGTGATGTGTTGTTTTAAATATTCGGGAAGTTATTATGAAAGAGTTGTTTTAAATATTCATGGTTTTATTGGAGTCCTGTATGGGTTAGAGTTAGACCATTTATCCTATATATATATATATATATATATATATATGTATATATATATGTTGGAATATCTCTTTTATCTTTAAGGGCTCTTTTTGAGAGTGATATAGGTTCCATATAATCCCATATGGCATTAGGGATGCAGATAATCTAATCACCTTGAATTGCTCTCGTTAGGGTTTATAATCCCCGAAATTGTTTGTGTTTTGAACAAAATTATTCTCAAAATCGATTTCCAGGCAAATCTATATCCGTCACCACCCTCAAAAATCGAAGTTATATTTACACTACAATCATCAAAATCGTTCCTATACTATCGAAATCATATCAATACCTGGGGATCGACTGAAATTGATCGATCTGAAATCATATGGTCATACCTTATTTGCCACCGACTGAAATTGATTGATTTTGTCGCACCTTAATCAATAAATGAGACCTTCAATGGTAACTTCTTGACTTCTCGTCCAACTCACACCAATCTCGCATCCAATACCAAACCCGACTTCTAGCCGGTCTATGTTACCTCACCCAGTCTAGAAGTTTGCTTGATTCTTCCCACATCATGTCTTAGCCTTCTTACAATAATATCACAATCACAGATAGCTCAGAAAATCTAGACATAATGAAAAGCATTGTCAGTACGAACAAATCACCATTTCATACATCAACAACAAGGTTACTCGTATTCCACAACAAGTCCCATATGCATTATCTCATACCTTAGCCTCAAGAACATCAAGTAATTTGTGGTATTTTGATTTCGTTTGTTGCAATCACATGGCCCCTTATTCATATATCTTTATTTTTAAGTTCTACGGTAACTCTATTTCGTCTGTTCTCACTGTTGATGCACACGTCTTCCTGTACATTATAGTGGATGCATTTCCACCCCATATCTCTTTTTACTTGATACTCTTCATATTACCAAACTCTCTATGGGTCTTATCTCTATTAGTCAACTATGTGCTATGGGATTTAATGTTGTTTTCTCTCCATATGGTTGTTGTATGTAGGATCCCAAGACAAACATATAATCGGGTTAGGTCATAGATCGGCCAGGATGTATGAACTGGTATATCTCTGCATTCCTAAAACATTCATCAAACCCCAAACCTTTTCTACCTCAATCAATCCAACAAATCTCAAACAACTTCTCCATTATCTAAAAACGATACCCTTGAACTTTGGCATGCCAGACTTGGCCATGTCTCTATTAATCGACTTAAACTTTTTTCCACATCCGATATCTTGGCACCTGTCAATACTAATAAACTATAATATGTATCTTGTCAAATCGGTAAACAACCAGCTTTATCTTTCTCATAGTGATTCCTTTATTTATGCTCTTTTCGATCTTATTCACTCTGATGTATGGGGTCCCTCTCGTCACACCACCGTGGGTGGATCTTGACACTTTGTCATCTTTCTTGATGATCACACTCGCTTTAAATCTGAATCAATTTTACCAAAATGATTCAAATTCAATTCTCTTGTCCCATCAGAGTCTTTTGTGCTAACAATGTGAATGAGTATTTAAAACA